TTCTGGTCCGTTTAGATTCAACAGGAGGACAGAGAGACGCTGGTCTGATTTATTGAGAGAGAGTGAGAGACTGAAAAGTTAGACTGGAATAAAGAAAGAGACACACACACATACATATGTGTAAAATCTTCCAACACAACCAGAAAACCACGATCTAATGAATTAAAATGAACATTTATATTTGTTCCAACAACTGATTTAACATCATTTGTTAAAAACATATTATCTTGTTGTTGAGTTGTGCAACTTCTTCTGTCTCATGTATAATGAAGGTAAAATAAAAGATCAGCTCAGATAGAAACAAGCCTTCCTGTAATAATTCACTGTTTAAAGCTGTTTAATATAAAATATTGACCTGATCTCATATAAAAACAATCCAGGAAACTTTAAGAGGCTTTTTTGGTCGTTAATCACAGTTTTTTACAAACCGAAGCAGCAGTTTGTAGTTTTTCACCAGTTTTAAATCTGTGTTTGTGGAGAGTCAGACCGTGGAGGTTAGTAAAAACAAACTCAAAACAAAACTATCAAAATAAATGTTACTACCAGTAGAACAAATACAAAAAACTGAAATCAATCATACAAGGAAAAGGTGCAGGAAGTGTTTGGATCAAAATCTTGTGTCACTTTCGAGGCTGTGACGAATAGAACCATTAAAACCTGCCTGGTTCTGAACAGACACACTCCATCTAGTGGTGTAACAGCGCACACAGAAGTAGGCAGAATGCTCAGTGTCACATTTGCTGTTGTAGTTTATTTACAAATATTAAAAACTACAAACTGTCAATCATCTTCAGCCTAACGCAGAAGAAAACCACCTTAATGTCGCTTCGCTAACTCATGCTCAAGTCCAAAAGGTTTATTTTACATATTTAAAATACATTTAAAATCATTATCATTCCACTACCAACAGTACAATGATGACCGTTGCCATTAAATGAAACATATTGCACAGCCTGACTTCATATTTTTTCTTCATCTTAAATAGTGCAAAAGGGATTTTTTTTTTTTAACAGGAATGTTCTAGAGCTTCAGTCGAAGAACCAAAATTTACTTTGTACAGTGAACTGCCGACATGTTGAACAAAATCAAAATGGAGGAAATAAATCCAACTTTGTCCGTAAAATAAAATAATGATAATAATAATAATAATTACAAGGCAGAAAAACAACAACAAACAAACAACAACAAGAGGAATAAACACACATTTCTGTATAGATTGCCACAGACAACAAAATAAATCTTCTCCACTGCGGAGAACGGGGCCGAGTCCACCTGAATGCCCCAGGTGAGCGATTATTCGTTCCAGAAAACGGTAAAAAGAAAAAAGAAGTTTACAAAAAAAAAGAAAGAAAAAAGTGTTAGAAACTGAAATAAGAGTCTGGTTTTAGCTCCACATGAGTGTCAACGGTTTTTCTGTTGTGTTTCCAGAGTGAGCTACAGGTTACAAGAGTTTCTATCCAGTCTATTCAGCTCTCATTTACATTTGTCAGAGTCTGTGTGTGTGTGTGTGTGTGTGTGTGTGTGTGTGTCTGTGTGTGTGTGTGAGTTCATGTAGTTGCCACGGAGCCGTCAAGTGACAATGGCTCAGAATTACAACTGTCGCCAACGCTGCTTGACGGACAGTAAGAGACCAGTTCTGTACCTTTTACCTCCGAGGAGAAGAAAAAAAAAAATCTCCCGTGAGGTCCAAAAGGGAGGGGGAGAAGGAGGGAGGGGATAGGGAGGGAGGGAGCAGGGAGTTAGGAGGTGAGGAGAGAGGCAGTGAGTAACGAGGGAGGGGTGCCGACTCCAAAAAAACAAAAACAAAAACAGGTAGACAGTTTCGTCACCTCATTTCTCATCGAGCAGGAAGTGCGTCTGTCTGCGGGGAGAGAAGTGCTGGTGGGTGGGATTGTGGAGGGGGGGGGGGACTTACTTGATGTTGTTGGCATCGGCCACCGCCGCTGAGAAGGAGGAAGTGGAGGAAGAGTCTTTTATGGACTTTGCGGCCGGGCCCAGGACGTGTCCTGGCACCCAGCCCTCAGCGGCGGGCGACTGGATGTTGGCGGGACGGTAAACAAGGTACATGTTCTGCTGGTTGGTGGCCAGGATCTGCACCCTCTCCCCCTGACTGACGCAGATCTCGTTCTCCTTGAGCGCAGAGTAGTTCTGAGTGACCAGCATGGTGGAGGAGACGCCGTTGCAGCCGCCGTCGGTGTCCTGAGGAGGAGGCGGAGGAGGAGGGGAAAGGATGAAGTAAGGAGAAGGGAGATGGAGGAGAAAGTGGAGGAAGAGAGGATGAGGATAATTGAGGACAACATGAAGGAGCGACTACGTGGGTTGGATAACAGTCCTGCTGCAGCCGACCCCAAGCTGAGGAGGAGCAGAGGGAGGCCAGGAGGGAGGAGCAGGAGGACGGAGGACAACAGCGACCTGTTCACTTTATTTTGACACCAACAGGAACTAAACAAACTACGACGGAATCTTAAAGGTCGATGAGTGAGATCCTTTGCACTCCAGTAACTCATCCACATCTATTTTCTTTCAAACACTTCTGGAGAATACAAATAGAAAACCTGTAATGTCATGACAAAATGAAATACGAACGGTTTCTGCTTCTGGTTTGTAAAAACTTCAAATAAAAGTTCAAAAGAACACAGACGGAGGAAACTGAACCTGAACTACTCATCATCAACGTCTCCTTCCAGAAACATGGTCCTGGTTATTCTGGATTATCTACAGCAAATAAAACTGCCGGATTAAAACCCACATGGATTAAATTGAGACTTTTAAGGTCACCGTTCTGTCCGGACGTAAAAAAGTAGAGAAACGCCTGAGAGCTCGAGACGCTGTTAATAACTGTTCAAAGTAGGTCAGGTATGATCCTGAGCTGTATTCTGCGACACCTGCAGTAGCCCAGATTCTAACCTTGGCTTTTAGGAACAGGTTTTCACACTGAGCCCAGAGAACAGGTGCATCGTGGCCTGATTCTCCGAGCGTCTGCTGCAGTCTCTGGTTCACCTCTAAGAAAAGACTAAATAAAGACCAGCTGCATTTCTCACAATCAGGAAATACCTCAAAATTCTAACACGTGTTACAAATTCATGCAAATCAAACAAACATGCAGAGCTGAGTATTCTGTAGAATTTAGTTCCCATCTGTCACGCGTGTGCCGGCTTTTTATGGAAAACTCACCCTGGGGTCGAAACACGACGATCCCCCGTTGGAGGTAGACACTTTCATCTGGCTCCTCCCTCTCTCTGTCTCCTTGTCACCGATGCCCACGGCGGAGGACGGCCGGCTGTGGGAGGACATGCCGGGCCGGTTTCCAGAAGACGAGCGGTTTCTGGTCAGCGACGAGCTGCCGCCCCCGCCGCCTTTCTCCTTCTGGTACTCGATGGGAGACTGGAGAGCTACGATCACACACAGACACATTTAGATTTCAGCTTCGAAGGTTTTAGGAGGGATCAGTCCACTGTCCCTTTTTTGGCCGTTAAAAAGTAAATGTTAATAGATGTTTATATTCTGCCTGTGTTTCCTCACCAGACAGGAAGTTGCTCTGAGCGTCCAGAACTTCCTGGATGTGTTGGACCCAGATTTGCTTGATGTCGACGTTGGCCGCCTGCAGCGTGAAACGCTCAGATGAGCCGCGACATGACAAGACGAACTTGCAGGGGTCGTTGTCCACACTTTCCTCCAGACCCAGGAACGACACCTGAGGAGGAGAGGAGGAGAGGAGAGGAGGAGAGGAGAGGAGGAGAGGAGCAGCCTCGGGTGATGAACGTTTATAGATTCATAGAACATAATAACTCAAATTATGACTCATACACTACAACTATCAGTTATGACTCGTGGACGGTGACCCTCTGTTCACCTTGATGCTCTTCTTGAACTGGTATCTCTGCGTGGACGAGCCTTTCCTGAGCAGCTCGCTGAAGATGACGATCTGCTCGAAGAGGAAAACTCGTCGTTCTTTGGAGCGCGACAGGACGCCGGCGTCCTGCTCCGTCACGAAGAAGGTTTCCTGCTGCAGCAGTTTGCCCTGACTGATCAGTTTACCCTGTGGGGAGACGTGGTCGAGGTCAGCGACTCGTTCGGACCTGATGAAGTTTCACGGTTGTTTGCAAACAGATCAGATGAACAAACCTCGTATCCCTGCAGCCGACCCAGATTCATCATGTCATTACACAGTTTAGGGACCTGAGACATTAAATCTACTGCTTTCTGTGAGACACAAAGAGATTCACGTCAGTGTCCGTCACATCGACAGAACGGATATTTCGGATCCATAAATACAAACGTGCTTTCACCTCAATTTGCTCACAGTCGATTCCTGCCTTTAGACTGTACTTCAGGAAGTCCTGAGAAGAAAACGTTTAACACAAATTAAACTCAGTTCACGATAGTTTCAATACATCATCTCACCCTGAAGGTCACACAGACGAGACAATAACATTTCACTTAGATGTATTTATAAAAAAGTTTCTATCAACATGGAAAATTAAGATCTCAGTCATTTTATTTATTATTGAATCATGATTGCACATTAAACTTATATGAAAACAAGGTGTTCTGCTTGTCAGAGTTATGTCTTCATGTGTGATACCTTCAGTAGCAGCTGGTATTTGGTGATTCTCTGGATTGGTTTGATGAGGAAGTCGCTGATGCTCAGTCTGGACTGGATCTCCTGCTGGATTCCCTGCAACACAAACACCAAACAGACTCGTAACGCCTCGGCTTCATTCACGTTAAACATCACATGCACCGGAGAACACAACATTCAACCGACTGAAATCCTCAGATGATGCACAAAACACTGCTCCAGAATCTATGAATCGATATAATTACAGGGCTGGAGGTCTCAGATGATGTAAAACCAGAAAAACAAAGTGACACAAAGAGTCGAAACTTCTCTCACATCAAAGTATGTGTCGTATTCTGCTACGATGAACTCGGACTTCGGCTTGTTCTGACAATAAACCACGTACATGTGGAGTCTTCTCTCCTGCAACACAGACACATGAGTTATTTAACCAAACGTATTAAATATATTGTTGAGTCGTCATATTGTCGCAGAGAGCTCAACTCACGTGTTTGATGAAGAGCTCCGGCAGGTGCTCGTTGTCCTCCAGACATTTCTCCAGCTCTCCTACGAAGAAACTGACAGAGACAGAAGATGGATGTTATTCATCAGCACCCGTCCCCTGTTCGGGCCCAGTCCCAGTGTTCGGACACCGATGTGGAGCTTACTCTCTGTGCCAGTCGAAGATCTGGTGGATGTTCCCGAAGACGATTTTGTCTTTTCCTTTCATGTCGTCGGGGAAGCCCTTCTCCTCGATTTTCTTCATGAAGCTCTGTGGGGTCAGAAGAGCTCAGTTAATGAAGATGATGAACAACACCAGAGCCACGGAGGAATATTCCATATCCAAGTACTCGGTAGAAGTAAAGCGAGCGTCTCACCTCCACCACGATGCCCAGATCTTTGACGTAGTCCTTCTCTGTCTGAATCAGCTCGTTCAGCACAAACCTGAGCAGAAGAAAACAGATCTCTGTTACACATCTGCTGGAGAGACAGCGAAAGACACAGCGCTTGTACATCTACTGGTAATACTACCTGATAAAAGCTGTAGTAGAAGTACTAAACAGAGGGCGGTAATGGAAACACGCTTCAGTACTCACATTCGTCCTCTCATAGCTTTGGCTATCTGCTCCAGCTCGGGGTTCCGCGGTTGGACGGGAGTGGTTTGTTCAGGCGGAGAGGGCAAGTTGAAACCAGGGTACGCTCCTGGCTCCAGAGTCTGAGGAGGAGAGAGGCGGTGTCATGAAGTCAGCCGCAAACTGAGCTGTTTAAATAAAACATCTACGCATCTCATTCTACAACATGAACAATGTTCTACATCCTCTGTCTTCAGACATTATGTCATCATGTCGTGACACAGAGGGCAGCAGTGTGTGTTCAGTGTTGAGTCCTTGAATATTAAACACGGAAATCTAAAGACGGAAATATTCAAACAACCACTGGACACAGATAACTACTGGATCACGATAAGTATATGATGTGTCTGTCTCTCAGGGGGACCCAAGGCTGCTTCACAGAGTTGGGAAAAATAAAATAAGACAAGGAATCTCATAGTTTCATACAGTTGATCCCAAAGTTCGACTCAAATACTTCAGATTATTGTCAAACAAAATGAAACTGAAATTACGACTCATCCTAAACTAACAGAAGAAAAATTACTGATACAAATTTGGATTTTAGCAACAATCGGAGTTTGTCAAATAAAAGTGACACGTCTAAATGATTGTGTAAATTAAAACAACGAGAGGGTTCGATCCTCGTCTCCCACGTTCTGCCTGTATCCCCTGAGGGCTGCGAGTGAATGAGTGACATGTGGTGGAGACACAATGAAGCACATTCAGGCCAATTACACAAACTACTAAAGACACAAACACATCACACCACCAATACGCACACAACATGCATGACTGGTGATACACTACACATATTTACTTTGGTGAAATGAGCCCGTACACTTCATGCATGATGTGTAAACTCCGTTCACACGCGTGTGTCCCAAACATGCGCACAATCCTACACGCACACTCACTCACCATCTTGGTTTTAACCAGTTTTTCTATGGCGCTAACCAGCTCTGCAGCGCTGGGCACCTCAGAGGACGACTGCAGAGACGTTAGCAAGGACGAAGACTGAGAGGAGGAGGAGGAGGATGGCGGAGAGCAGTGTTAGAGGGATTGGAAGGAGAGGAGAGAAGGTGGGGAGTCGTGAATAAATGAAAGGAATAAACAGCAGGGAAAGAGTTAGCAGAGTTAGCAGAGGAAAGCAGCAAACCAGAGCAGAGCTACAGATGAACATACTGCAGGATTTATATCAGAATTAAAATAGGAGAATTAATAGTCGACTGTGAAGCTCTGATACTGGAAACTACTGAGAAACTAAACCTAATCAAATAATAATGAGAAGAAGTTAAACAAGGTCTCTGATGGTTTTAAATGGGATAAATTCAAGACTTTTAAAGACGATAATGAACAAAATAAAAAGTAGAAGTCAAGATAAAAAATATCACCATTTGAGACTTCGCACAAACCAAAGTATGAAGTTGTTTCTCATCAAATCAACACAAACGAGACTGAACACAACAAAGTTTAGTCTTTGTTAATAAAAGAGGCAGAAGCTCAGTTGATCCACTCGGATGAAATAAATGAAATATATCCAGAGATGTGTTGAGATCACCTCCCCTCCAGCCCCCTCTCACCTTCTCATCCTGAGCTGAGGGGTCCTTGATGATTTCCATGGGGGGAGGCAGAGGAGTGTGGGCCTCCTCGTCCTGCTCCTCCTCGCCACCGCTCTGCATCCCAGAGGGCGTCTTAGAAAGGAGGTTACCGTCCTTACTGAGGACCCTCTGTGGAGGAGAGACACAGAATCACATCACCGATCAAACCGATTGATCGTAATGAAGCTTCTGATGAGTCACGATCACTCGGCCGTATTTATTTCCATTTAAACTTCCTCTTCCCTAAATTTCCATTGAATTACCAAATAAATGAGTAACATTGTGAGAAGATGAGTCATTTTCCTTTGTGAAGTTGTGATGAATCACAGATAAAAGACTCCTCGTGGTTAGAGTCAGACTTTATGAGTTAGTTCATCGGGTCGAGAAAGAAGAAGAAAGAAAATCCTCTGAACTTGTGAGCTAACGCTGAAAAACTCATTCCAATAAAAAACTTAATTTGAGCTTTGAACTGTTAAAACCGTATTTGTTTAATTTAAAAAGTTTAAATGGCAAAAGAACCATTAACAACAGAGGATGTGGAAATTAACAAAAGCTTAGGAGGTGTTTCATATCCAAGAACAAACTTTCTTTTGTTTCTTGTGTTTGTAAGACCTGTGTTGATTCTGTTTTAAAATGCAGCTGCTCACTGTGTGGCTGCAGAGGGCGCTGTTGCTCAGTTAAAGTAATAGTGCTGCTTTAATGTCAGCGGCCGTCAAACATTCACGCATCATTTACCACGTAAACAGCTGAAACCCGCTCTGTAGAATCTTGTTGTTTACCTCATCGATGTTGTCGTCCTGCAGAGCGAGGTCGGGCTGTCCGAGGTCGACGCTCTTCCTGTTTTCCTCTCTTCCGGATCCTGGACCTGTCAATCAGTCCAACACGTCGTTAGTCACGTCAATCACAGAGACGTCAAAACACAGCGGAATCACTGGGTTCAAGGATGAACGATGTGTTGAGCAACAAATGAAATTAAAAAAACAAACTTCTGCAGGTTAGACATCCTGATTTTTGTCCTGATGAGTCTAAAACGACAGAACACGTTTACCTTTATTGGTGTTCTGTGTTACGTTAGTGTTAATTACACGTGTGTGAGCAGGAACTTAGATGTGTGACGTTCCGTGGCGTCTGTAAAGTTCCAGTGCCTGATCTTAACGACACTTGTGTGAAAACATGAATGCAATGCTGCTGAGCAAAGAGACACACGTTCCATGGTGTCAGTGGCATGTCATCACCGCCGTTGTGTACGTGTGTTTGCGTCTCACCCGTCTTCTTCTGTTTGTTATTGGGGAGCTTCTTGACGGAGCTGCCGTGGCTGAGGCGGCGGACCGGGCTGGTCAGCCATTTTCTCAGAGTGTTTCCGGAGCGTTTGGGTCCCGGGGAGCTGGACTGCAGGGAGATGAGGGACGGCTGCGGCTGCAGGTTGGCCACTGACTCCGTCTTCCCATCGGAGCTGCTGACTGGATAGTTTTCTGAAAGAATAAAATCACATTTTAAACAGATGTCACCAGGCCCCCTCGCAAATACACGTTTCAGCTCAACAGACCCACATGAGTTCCTTTATGACTAAATCTGGTCAGCAGCTGCTCTCATGTCACACACAGGCCTCAGCTAATAACACTGTCGAATCCAACACACAGGATTAGAGATGAATTCCCTCTTTCCCTGCTGCTGCGCTGTGATCGTTCAGAGTTCTGTTCATCCTTTAATACTTCGATGTCAATAATATGAGGAAATACGAGTTTCAATTCCAACATTTCAGCCGAGAGGCATGAAGTTAAAATTTAACCAGGAAGCAGGAAATAAATATCATCGCACACATTCTTTCACTGACATTAAAATCACATATTTAGAATCACAGAGAGTAGAATCAGTTCAAACACTTTGAACCAGTTTGTCTTGTTGTCATCCTACAGATTCCAGAGAGAAAGAAAGCTGTGTGTGTGTGTGTG